GTTTCCGTCCTCAAGTCAACTCAAAATTTGGTCATTTCACCTCGAAGTTGTGCAGGGACGGCAAAAAAATGTACAAAAAAGTGTCATGCGCGTGCAGAGTTGTTGTTTAATTTGCTCATAAAACCTATTGTTTTTAGACGTTCCCGTTGCTGTCACCGTCGTAGTTTCGTAAGGTCCCTAATATATATTGTGAAGGCACGTCTGTTGTCCTCTCATCCTTGACTCCTTCTTCCTTCTTAAATACTTCTTACTAAAGTTATTTTTGTCTTCTATTTCATTGGTCAACAAGCTTTTCGTGATAAATAAGCATAAAAGTTAGTTTCGTACTAATCAGGAATATTTGAACAGTTCTTACCCTCTGCCAGTTTGGAATAAGACGTAGGATGGCTCATTCGTCCTTCTTCTAAAGCGAATGCATGTTTTTGTGGTCCATTCAGCCATGCCTGCTCTTATGGCCGACATTGCCCCAGAATTTGCGGCTAAAAACAAAAACATAAAACCAGACATCAATTTGTTACTACATTATCTTACAGTTCATTGCAATAGGCCATTAGCACGATGGCGTCATTTTACTACTGACTACGACCAGAATTCTTTTCGTTTTTCCTTTCACATGTAAATTTGTTAATCCCAGCGAGGTTTAAATAACAAAGGCGATAATTTTCATAAGAAAGGAAAAATCCGAAGGATTCTGGTCGTAGAAGTAAAATGACGCCATCATGCAAATGGGGAATTTATAAAGTGTTATACTCACGCTGAAATCACCTTATGATGTTATGTGTCAACCAGAAGCGCATTGGTTCTTGAAACAAAAGACTCCTTTGTTTTACTCGTTAGAAAAAAGTTTCAGTCAAAAGTTGCATGGTATTAAAATAAACATTTTTTGACACTTAAGGAGTGGTCCTGAGGGAGATACATTCAGAATCCTTGGGTTATAGTTTTCAAAAAGCGAACGCCCAAAAAAAAGGCGCCTGTTATGCAGGATAAGAGGCCGTTGAGTAGTTAAACAAACGAATAAAAATTAAATAAACTGCGTTAGTCACTTGATTGACATGTGAGTAGAATGCGCGACTAATGAAAATAGCTGATTGGCACAATCGAAACTGTTCATAAAGTTATGACCATTGGTTTTGATTGAGAACTTACCAAGCTGCGGCTGTATTTCGTAAACAACTTCTCCTCGTGGCCACAGACGGAACCTCCTCGCACCTCTTTTGCGGTCGGAGCTGAAAACATTCCTTCCATGCTCTGCGTTGTATCGTTCCTTTGGTGAAAGAATCATGTCTCCCTCAAAAAGTTTTGGGTCATAAATGCCTTGATTTTCTACAAGAAATAAATAAGTATACTAACAAAAAAAATTTTAGACAAGACAAAAAAATAAAAGACATAAAGCTAGTCTTGAGAAAGTAATTTCCCAACACCAAAATCTATCCAAACTTGCTGTGCTGTAAAGGCGTTATTAAGGTTTCAAACCCCACGACGTTAGGCTAATCATATAAGCAATAGAATTCAACAGCGATACCGCCATGAGTAACTCAGTGTCCGACCCCCCCCCCCCCTCCCCCCTCCCCGATTTTCATAACCGGCTATATACAGGAAGTGTTTCCCCTTTCCTTGGGATTATTTCCATTCTCCGCGGATGAAGCGTTACAAATTGGATGATTATTATCATTGATTATCTATTAAAATGCCAGGAAATTAGAAAGAGATCGTCGAAACCATTTACCAGATTTCTGCGTGGGATGTTTTATTCATTAAAGCTCTATTATTTTATTCTGAAAAATCTGACCCGTTTCCCTATAATTAACAGTGTAGCAGAGGTTCGAATCACAAAACTCAGAGGCATTTATGATTTACTGTCTAAAAACAAACAAACAAACCAGGCAAACTCAAGTACTTAAGAAATTAAGAAAATTATTGAAAATAACTAATCATTTTGGACTGGCTCTTAAGAGTAACGGACGCAATTTAATATTTCAAATTGCTCTACTTTAACGTCGTAATTCAAAAAAACACCTCTTTAGAACAAACTCGCATTATCAGGCTTGGGGCACAGTACTTCTACATTCGAGTATTATGCCAAATGCGTGCACGCATATGCACGTGAAAGCAAACTGTGTCGAATGTTTTTTTGGTTCGGTCTGCCATCAAACAACAACAAGGAAACTAGATCTGCTTTAATCCCGACTGTGGTACTACTTTCTTTTTCCCCTCGTTTCATCGTTGCAATAGAATTGTTAGTAATATTTAGTGCCTTATGGAAGTACAAAAGAAGTGTTTTAGAGTTCGGCCATTAGGGTCTCTTGAGTAATTAATGAGTAGTGAATCCCGAAAGAAGAAGACTTACCATCAGGGTTGTGTGAATTGCTATGCACAGTTCTAACCAACAGAAGAACGACCAACCAATACATACTGGGTTTTGCGCACCGTAAGCTGAGACTCGTTCACCTGAATAGTTATACAACCTGTATGTTTTGTGTGCTTAACAAAGCTATAATCCATAAGTTATATATACTGAGCTAGATGTCTGCATATTGATCGATTTTTGCTTTGGATATTAATAGTGTCAGTATATGCTTTAAAGCTAGAGAGGTAGGGGGTAGGATATGCGTAATAGGCTTTTTATAGTGCAACTGCAAAATAAAGTAAACCGCTCTCCTATTGCACCGGTATTCCCTTCAACCATTTTCTTAGCCAGTGGCTGACGTAGTTGCGGGTCGGTAGATGATTTTATGATACCGAACAGAAATGTTCTCATCGTCGACAAGGTCCAAATATGGTCGCTTCTTTTGTGTCCTAGATTGTTTTTGTTGTTTGCAAATAGTTGACCTGTATCAAACCCACCCCGAATATCACGAATATCAAATTTGGCACTTTCTAAATTCATTATACTTGTGTATTGAGAATCAAAACTCGTGAAGAAGATTTTAAAGGCCTTAGTGTATGCTGCAGTTCTTGTTTTTGATTTTGTAATGTGACATCGCGGGTTATAGCAAGAAACATTGATTATAAGTTACGTTTTCTCATTTTAATTCAAGCCGCACTGAAATAGTAATTTCTATGTTTGACTTGCTGCATAATTTTGCCACCACATGCACCCTTATTTGCTCGACGCAAATATTGTGTGTACTTGTTCATCGGTCAGAACAAATCGGGGAAAAGTTTTCTGACTGCGCACAGCCGGCGGAATAAGAACACAAGCAATACAACACAACACAATACAATTTATTTCGCATATCTCAATATATAGTTTTACAGTTTTTTATATACTAAATTTAAAAAAAAAACAGAGAGTTGTTTAATACAGTAGGGGGGTCGAATATATTAAAAACAGTCCCATTTAACGCCATTGCACGTTACACATGGGGCAACGTAAAAAACAAATTTAGGCTTAGCCTACCGACCAATGTATGCGCTACTGAATAATTAAGCGGCAATGGCCACCTATTAAGGGCCCGCCCTCTACTAAGCGGCCAATAATCACAATTCCGAAATATTTGTGGAAGGAATGGGAACTTTAATCTCTATAAGCGGCTTTCTCTATTAAGCGGCCGCGGCCGGCCGCCTTTTGACCGTCCCAACGAGAGTTCTCCCATTGTTGTCTGTCTTTATTAAGCGGCTGTCAAGCAAGCGCTTGATGCTTAGACTGTCTTCTTTTTTTTAAGAATATGATGAAGGAAAATACGGTCTGAGATAGGAGGTGACGACCAATTGTGGAACAGTAATGCTACTCCCCTCCGGTGTGAATGCTTTGTCTTTTTGATATGAATAAATTACTAATTAAGCAACAAGATTTCTTGACTTTTTCATCGCTCGAAAAAGCGTCTGTTAGCCGCCTCTTGAGTCCTTTTATTTTACACACAAATTACAGGTTACCCTTACCGTTTACACTTTTACTTGTGAAACCCCTCTTACCCTTTTATGTAGGTGAAGTCTGAAAAACGTACCCTTCTGGGCGGAGCCTACCCGTATAGACCGTCATAGATCGTCATAGGGGGTGCCCCCGGGTATTTGTTTGCGGATTTGCAATATCAGTGGTAAAAGTATTACTGTGAGACATTTTAAAACATAGCCGAACTAAAAATAGCTCGGCTAAATTTCATCGTTCTTAACTTAACAGCTTAATATGATACGCACCTCCTATAAGAACATTCTCCAAGCTATTTTTCTATCTACAATAAATGTCAAGGACGAAGGATAATCATATAAAAATAATTAAGACGATCGGAATATAAATGTCGGCAATATTTCATCAGGAAACTACGTAACACGAAAGAGAAAGCGCGGCGCGGTTTTAAATGAGGCTGTCGTAAGAAAAATTCACACTGGGTTGGTTTTGAGTCCAGAGTTAATTACGGGCTGCCTTATTTGAAATAGTTGTGAAGCATGAGGTATAATACCAACTTTTGTGAATAATCTGTATAGTACATCCAGCGTTCATCCTTATGACCAGTTACACGCAAGGTAAACCGAATCGTGTGACATTTGTATTAAAAATATATATTAGCTTCAGCTTGCACCACAGTAACGCAAGTGGCATCTTTTTATCGGAATCAGTTCGTTCACCAAAAAGGTGGTACAGTTTAGGACACGAATATAACGAGACCACATGCACGGCCTGTCATATTTTCTGCGCCTTCTATCTCGTCCAGCCCAATGAAAACACGCTCTGCGTCGGACAGCACCTTGATTCACTGTAGGATGACTGCCGCTGAGCCACCCAGTTGCATCCGTCCTACAGCGTGATATGGGGACGACTTGGGAAGGCATTTTTGTACCTGCCGCACCCATAAACCTGTACCAGCCCCTTCGCAAGGGGCCATCGCATTTGCGGACAACGTTCTTTAGAGTTTGGTAATCGTTCTTGCTGTCAGTCTCATTGAGAATCCTGTAGTTACTACGTGCTAGGAAAAAAAAAGAAAGAAAAGAAAACATGGTAATAAACTTTTGAAACCTTAAAATATGAAGGAGAAGGGGATCATAAACATTACAATCAAAACATGTATAGATATCTGACAAAACACTCCTCGTTTATAAATATAATAATCAATAATGATGATGATGATGATGATGATGATGATGATGATGATGATGATGATGATGATGATAAAGTATATAAAAGTTTAATCTCCCTAAAAATCATTCTGTTTGAAAAATAGAATAAGAACTACCTGTACGTACAGTATGTTGCCCAGTATCCGGACACTACAGTTTAACATTGCAATAACTTTACTTTGTTAGCCACAAGAGCTGTGAAAATTGGCCCAGATAAAATCTATTCAGTCCTTAATATGATGAAATTAATATTTTTGTAGAGTTCTTATGTTGCCCGGTATCCGGACACAACAAGAACAATGTAATTGTACACAAATTTCGACAGGCAAGCGACTTATAAGCTTCTCTCGCACTTGCAAAGTAGTCTGGCAATCGATTAGCTTATAGCTTATCATCGTGAAATAAAACATAGCAAGTGATCGGGGTATGTGAGGAACGTGAGCGGCTGTTAAATGGTATAATTCTTACTTCCTTGTCTAGGAACTTTTTCACTGATTTAAGGAAGGCATCCGTGGACATGCCGAAGCCGCGTTTTGCAAGCTCAATTAGCCAATCTGCAAAACATTTTTTTTCTTCATTTTTTATTAAAAAAAAAAAAAAAGCTTGGGGATGGGACCTCAATCCGACGGTCAAAGGTCACTTATTTAGTCTGACCTGTAGTGTAGATTTCATCATGCTCAGCCCCCACAATAAGCCTGCTTTTTTAGCAATAATTCCTCCATCTTTCACATCTCTCAATCCCTTTCTGACATTTTTTAGACCCCATTCTAGCAGTCACAACTGGGGATAGTATGAGAATTCCAGGTTCAACTCCGACGCTGCCGGTTAATTAGGTCATGGTAGATTTGGGAAGCTGCCCTTAGAATCTTAACATTTCCTTTTTCTAGTAGGTGTTTCTTTCACTCAGTAGAAGAAGACCTTACCATCAGGATTATGCGAATTGCTATATACAGTTCTCGCCAAAAAAAGAACGACAAACCAGTAGATGTTGCGTCTTTTGCATCTTTAGCTGAGTCACCTTCACCTCAATAACTATACGTTTTAAGACACTTAAGACACCTATAGTGTGAAGGCAATTATATATCCTAAACTAATAGTGATATTGATAGTAAGATTTGATCATGTCCTTCTTTGGGTAAAAATACATCTTGGGCTAGTTTCAGTTTAGCAAGCAGGACAATAGTCTGATTATAGTGTTACTGTCCAATTATCAAACCAGAAAATAGGTGAGGTTTCATAGCCACTGATAGACAGCGACGTAGACGCAGCTGATAACTGTGTTTATATAAACACTTGTTTGCCAGACACGAGTTCACAAATCTTTGATTGGAAAAATTAGGCTGACACTCGTTCTCTGTCTTTAGGGGAATAAGACTAAATCCCAAACAAGCAAGACGAGTGAATCAACGGCTAGATTATCACTGGCAGAACGATGGACGATTACAGAAATTGGCCGACAACCAAATTCTGTGCTGACTTATTCCCTACTCACAGACGTCCTTCCCGGAATAAAGTTTGTAAAAAGGCTAGAAGGCGCGAGCGTGAATTGATCAAACCTGTTAATTTCTAAGGTTTACTTTCGGGCAAATAAAACGAACCGTATATAAGAAGTGAAAGAGAAATAGCGAAAAATCCCAGCTTCTAATGAAATCTTTTCTTATGGTTTACTGATAAACTATTCTCGAAACTGGGAATGTTTTCAGATCAAAGCTGTGTAAATCGAACCGAAACAGTGCATGTGGAACCTTGTGTTTCCTGTTTTTACTCTCACCCATTGTATGGAATATGTGTGAAAATCTTCATTATGAATTGGTATATTTCAAAGAGCTACACAGCGACTAAGAACACTATTGACCGACGATATACAGAGAGGGAGAAGCTGTTTCAGTTGTGCCAACTATTACTAATTAACAACTGTGTTTGGCAATGGTACATTGCTATCACCGTCATTCCAACTGTTGGATGCCAGTTTTGCGAGGGTACATTGTCATCATCATCATCTTTATTCATCATTTTCGGAGGAATCACTCTCAACTTCCTGCACAACATAGTCCTCACTACTCTCTTCGCTTGCTTCTGAGCTGCTGTTTGCTTCAGAGTTACTTGCATCTTGATCTTTTCTTGTGGAGACACTTTGTATGGCTGCTGACAGCTGAATGTGAACTGACACTAAGTTTAGCTTGTCTTTTTTTAGTCTGCTACACAGCCGTTTTTAGTGTCGTCACGCAGGAGCGTTGCGTGACGACACTAAAAACGGCTGTGTAGCAGACTAGTCTTTTTTAGGCAATTTCTTTTCAGATGTCAGACTCTTTGCTTTTAAAGCAGATCCTCATGAAGAAGTTTCTCCCACTCCGCATCCTCATAGCTAAGGTTTTTCTCCCTTTCTGCCACAGTTTAGGACACGAATATAACGAGACCACATGCACGGCCTGTCATATTTTCTGCGCCTTCTATCTCGTCCAGCCCAATGAAAACACGCTCTGCGTCGGACAGCACCTTGATTCACTGTAGGATGACTGCCGCTGAGCCACCCAGTTGCATCCGTCCTACAGCGTGATATGGGGACGACTTGGGAAGGCATTTTTGTACCTGCCGCACCCATAAACCTGTACCAGCCCCTTCGCAAGGGGCCATCGCATTTGCGGACAACGTTCTTTAGAGTTTGGTAATCGTTCTTGCTGTCAGTCTCATTGAGAATCCTGTAGTTACTACGTGCTAGGAAAAAAAAAGAAAGAAAAGAAAACATGGTAATAAACTTTTGAAACCTTAAAATATGAAGGAGAAGGGGATCATAAACATTACAATCAAAACATGTATAGATATCTGACAAAACACTCCTCGTTTATAAATATAATAATCAATAATGATGATGATGATGATGATGATGATGATGATGATGATGATGATAAAGTATATAAAAATTTAATCTCCCTAAAAATCATTCTGTTTGAAAAATAGAATAAGAACTACCTGTACGTACAGTATGTTGCCCAGTATCCGGACACTACAGTTTAACATTGCAATAACTTTACTTTGTTAGCCACAAGAGCTGTGAAAATTGGCCCAGATAAAATCTATTCAGTCCTTAATATGATGAAATTAATATTTTTGTAGAGTTCTTATGTTGCCCGGTATCCGGACACAACAAGAACAATGTAATTGTACACAAATTTCGACAGGCAAGCGACTTATAAGCTTCTCTCGCACTTGCAAAGTAGTCTGGCAATCGATTAGCTTATAGCTTATCATCGTGAAATAAAACATAGCAAGTGACCGGGGTATGTGAGGAACGTGAGCGGCTGTTAAATGGTATAATTCTTACTTCCTTGTCTAGGAACTTTTTCACTGATTTAAGGAAGGCATCCGTGGACATGCCGAAGCCGCGTTTTGCAAGCTCAATTAGCCAATCTGCAAAACATTTTTTTTCTTCATTTTTTATTAAAAAAAAAAAAAAAGCTTGGGGATGGGACCTCAATCCGACGGTCAAAGGTCACTTATTTAGTCTGACCTGTAGTGTAGATTTCATCATGCTCAGCCCCCACAATAAGCCTGCTTTTTTAGCAATAATTCCTCCATCTTTCACATCTCTCAATCCCTTTCTGACATTTTTTAGACCCCATTCTAGCAGTCACAACTGGGGATAGTATGAGAATTCCAGGTTCAACTCCGACGCTGCCGGTTAATTAGGTCATGGTAGATTTGGGAAGCTGCCCTTAGAATCTTAACATTTCCTTTTTCTAGTAGGTGTTTCTTTCACTCAGTAGAAGAAGACCTTACCATCAGGATTATGCGAATTGCTATATACAGTTCTCGCCAAAAAAAGAACGACAAACCAGTAGATGTTGCGTCTTTTGCATCTTTAGCTGAGTCACCTTCACCTCAATAACTATACGTTTTAAGACACTTAAGACACCTATAGTGTGAAGGCAATTATATATCCTAAACTAATAGTGATATTGATAGTAAGATTTGATCATGTCCTTCTTTGGGTAAAAATACATCTTGGGCTAGTTTCAGTTTAGCAAGCAGGACAATAGTCTGATTATAGTGTTACTGTCCAATTATCAAACCAGAAAATAGGTGAGGTTTCATAGCCACTGATAGACAGCGACGTAGATGCAGCTGATAACTGTGTTTATATAAACACTTGTTTGCCAGACACGAGTTCACAAATCTTTGATTGGAAAAATTAGGCTGACACTCGTTCTCTGTCTTTAGGGGAATAAGACTAAATCCCAAACAAGCAAGACGAGTGAATCAACGGCTAGATTATCACTGGCAGAACGATGGACGATTACAGAAATTGGCCGACAACCAAATTCTGTGCTGACTTATTCCCTACTCACAGACGTCCTTCCCGGAATAAAGTTTGTAAAAAGGCTAGAAGGCGCGAGCGTGAATTGATCAAACCTGTTAATTTCTAAGGTTTACTTTCGGGCAAATAAAACGAACCGTATATAAGAAGTGAAAGAGAAATAGCGAAAAATCCCAGCTTCTAATGAAATCTTTTCTTATGGTTTAGAATAAACTATTCTCGAAACTGGGAATGTTTTCAGATCAAAGCTGTGTAAATCGAACCGAAACAGTGCATGTGGAACCTTGTGTTTCCTGTTTTTACTGTCACCCATTGTATGGAATATGTGTGAAAATCTTCATTATGAATTGGTATATTTCAAAGAGCTACACAGCGACTAAGAACACTATTGACCGACGATATACAGAGAGGGAGAAGCTGTTTCAGTTGTGCCAACTATTACTAATTAACAACTGTATTTGGCAATGGTACATTGCTATCACCGTCATTCCAACTGTTGGATGCCAGTTTTGCGAGGGTACATTGTCATCATCATCATCTTTATTCATCATTTTCGGAGGAATCACTCTCAACTTCCTGCACAACATAGTCCTCACTACTCTCTTCGCTTGCTTCTGAGCTGCTGTTTGCTTCAGAGTTACTTGCATCTTGATCTTTTCTTGTGGAGACACTTTGTATGGCTGCTGACAGCTGAATGTGAACTGACACTAAGTTTAGCTTGTCTTTTTTTAGTCTGCTACACAGCCGTTTTTAGTGTCGTCACGCAGGAGCGTTGCGTGACGACACTTAAAACGGCTGTGTAGCAGACTAGTCTTTTTTAGGCAATTTCTTTTCAGATGTCAGACTCTTTGCTTTTAAAGCAGATCCTCATGAAGAAGTTTCTCCCACTCCGCATCCTCATAGCTAAGGTTTTTCTCCCTTTCTGCCATCTCTCTTCTTTCTCTTTTCCCTCCGTATCATCATTTTCGGGTACGCAAGGTGATGCAAGTATTTATTTTTCCCCTAGAGACCTATGAAATGCTACGTTACGTAATATTAGCAGATTTATTGAGCCTTAGCATACGCTCACATATTGAGTTTGGGACGCCTGTGTTCTCTAATGTAACATCAGGTGGTTTCAAAACGTACAAGCTAACAGGGTCTATTCCGCCCACTCGGTAGTCTCCCTCGCAGCCGTTTTTTGGATGTCACGCGTTGCGTGACTACCCACTCGCAGTATTTAATGAGATCTACTGCTTCATGTTTCTTTACATTATAATTATTAAGTCAGATATTAATGTTAGCCGAGTGATACTTTGGGTGAATTCTGTTTGCTGGGATACAAAATAATCAATGACAGTTTCCATTTGGGATAAATTTTGCCATAGGAGTGTGGCCGTTTATTTAATTTAGTCAAGTTTATAAAGCGCTTGAAACTAGGAAAATTCAGATACACGAGAAGATAATCCCAGCAAAAGAGGTCAGGGTACCCTCGCCATTCAGAAGAGTAAAGTGGAACAAAACGGGGAGGGGGAGAAGGGTGGCATCTTTGTTCGCTTTCATGTCTTAAGAAATTATACACATGACAATGTCCCGCATGGCAGGAACAACCCCTCAACGGCAGCAAGAGAAATGCAACTTTGATCAGTCTCATCAAAAATTAAACCGTTTATTTCAGTTTTTACCGAGGTTACTCTTAGCTTCCTGAAAAAGTAATGATCTTCGACACTACGCAAAATTGATTCTACGTACTGAGCATGTTAACACATGAAGTTCAACAAAATACAAAACAGGAGCTCAAAGTAACTTCAGCCTTTTCAACACAACTTGAGATGCAATTTTCTTGATGACAAAAACATTCGATAACAAGTTAAATTTAATTAAAGTGGTTTAAGCACGGTGTATTTTAAGAGAGTATTAAAGCTATGTTTAGGCAGAAACTTAGAATGAGCATGAGCCTCTGAAACGGCGTCAGTCTCGATCATTGCTGTGACTTTATGCAGGACATCTATTGCAGGTCCTCCGGCAGGAGCTTGGAGCCGAAGAACACCAGAAAAAACTTAACTGAGCGCAAGAGGAGGCAATGTCTTGACAGATAGCTAAAAGAAAAAGAGTAAAAAGAAGGTTAAAGACAAGTGTTCCGCAGCCTTCTTTCCCTCCGCCCCTGGGAAAGATTTGATCAGAAAAGGACCAAACAAAAAAACTATTGGAGACAAAACACCCAGAAGAATACTCCCTGTTTTAGTGATGAAAGGTGCAGATATGAAAATTGGTTATCAAAGCCTCCCTTTCACTTCTCTATTTTTTGTTGGCAGCGTACTCGAGAACGTAATGAATTAAGGGAGATATTGCTTGAATGTGCTGCTTGTTGCTGGGATATAATATTCTAACACAGGCTTAATAGCAGTGCGCTTAGTACAGCGGGCACATTTATGACCACTGGTTTATCAATAAACGGATGCTCCCAGTTGGAAAACCAGCTTTGATGATCTCGTAGAATGAGGTTGGAGGGTTGGGGTCTTCCTTAGAAAACTCACTCACCAGTTGTAGGAGGAGGAGGAGCTTTGCTTGGTCCTGCAAGATTAAAATTAATAAAACAGTTTTTACTTGTTTGCTTTGTAGTCTTTTAGAAATGGGTCGATGGGTGGATGTATTTGAGACCGAGCTGCATCGTATTCACCACCCGTTCATGAATGTTCGTGTAATATTTATAAGTTAAAACTGAATAATTATGTAGCTGGATTTTGATAAACGTTACTTCTTTCTCTTTCCTATAAGTTATTCTTTTCGTTTTTTTGTAGTTTAGTCTTTGGGCTTATGGGATGCAAGAAAGGCATTTTAGTTTTCACCTTGCTCAAACTGCATGCTCCGATCACCATTAAGTACGGTTTTGTTTTACAAAAAATAATGGATTGCTCAACTGGCAAGAGGGAAAGGAGAATAGTTCTAATACATTTCCTGCTAAAATAGCTCATCTCAGGCACTGGCGGGAAAACATGTTAGAACTTTTCTTTCCTTTAAGACCGCGGACCTCAACAATGTTCAATAGAGGGTCATATCTCGTGCTTGCGCAAATCTTTCTCGCCTTAGCCAGAATGGGACTTGCTTTGGCAAGGATGGGTGTGGGGGAAAGAGGAGGAGTAGCGTGTGTGCCAAAGGGTGTGGTGTTTAATCATGTTTTAGAAATAAGGTGTTTAAATTTTTATAACATACCTGAAGTTTTATTCCGCGCTGAAAAGAAATCAGTTTAGAAGTAATCAATTTTTTTTAACAGCACATTATTGTAATTTTGAAATAACTCGATCTATCTTCATATAAATTATCGTATTCGTTTTTTAAAGTTTGCTTTCCACAAGGGTTCTAAGACTTTCCAATTTCTAAATAAAGATTAAGTTTAATTCAAAATAAAGTTGAATTACTGTTAATTGGGTCGCCTTTTTTGTCCCCTAAACTACTTAAGCCAGGACCCTGGCTATATAGTGTTTATATTGAGAGCCAATACTAATACTACTACGTCAACTACTGACGACAACTGCTGACTACAACTTTCCAAATGCATGCGATTAATAGGTAACTTTGAATGGAGGGAACTAAATTGCTGTTAGCTTGTTTGTAGAGCTTACCGTCGCACAATGCCTGGTAGAGCAGGTTTGCTTGTTGCGCATCAGTTGGACTTAGGCCATTTCTTTGGCCAATTTTAAACTAAAAGAAAAAAGTAAAATAGGGAATGGAATTAACTTCTTAACGACTATAGCCTTTTCAATTCCTTTTCATGAAGACCAGATCTTGTATTTCATATTAGGGTCAAATCAGACCCCTTTAATCGAGGTTTCTTGTAAAACTTCCCAACTACCCCTCCCCTAAACCAACATTAACACTTAATTCTCACTTAGGGGAAAATGTTGACTTAGGGGAGGGGTAGGTGGGCAGCTTCCCATGAACCCAAATTGATCTTCTGAGTCAAAAATGCCCCACAGATACCCTTCCGTGTCAATAGTGATCTCACCCCTTCACGTACCTCAGTAATGAAATATTAACTTGTAATAACCAAAGGTTACGGAGTGTGGGCGACACAGATCGAAGGTCAAAACGCTTTTGCTATAGCGCTGTGCCTTGCGTAAGCTTCACGTGACAGATAATCAAAACACGCGTGACCAGATTACGAGTGATAGATGGTTCAAACGCGCGTGATCAAATTGCATTCTGTACATTCCATGCATTCTTAGTGGAAGTCCAAACAAATAGTGGCTACATACATGCGACGCATGCGTAATAACCACCTGGAGATTAGGATTGAGGGCTCCTCTTGTCGCCCGCAATAAAATGAAGAGACCTTATTTACGATACCCGCCATCTTTGCCAATGTAAAGTAGTATTTCAGGGGGCAAACTAGTGATCAAATCTTTACCAACACGAGTAATTGCGGTCGTTTTTGTTTATTCTATCAAATCTAGACGACGATTTAATAGCGGAGCTCCACCCGCGCGCGAAGCGCGCGCGTGGGCGGAGCCCCATAGCTAAGGAAATGTGGTAATCTACCCATCCCAGAAAATTTGGTTATCACGTGACCGTACACCGAGCGAGCGATCGAGCGAGCGACCGTCCGTCCGCACCACAGGCATACCATATAAAATAACTCAATCAACAGGTATGGGAACCCAAATGCAACTAAGGTTTTATTTGGAAGGAAATCACATGGCCACCCGGACTTTGAGAAAGAAAAAAGTCGTGTCTTTTTCGGCGTTATTTTTTATGTGTACACTAACGTGGATAACAGAGAAAGAGCTAGAGCGGGTTATTGAAAATTCGTTGGAAGAAAAACCTTGTAATTCAAAGCGGTGGTGAGAAAATGAGAAATGCTAGCTGCCAGCAAGGTGAAAATGAGCGACAGTGAAAAATAAAAGCGAACATGAACACTGGAAACAAAATATTGGGTAAGCACATACGACAATTTCTCCATAAAAATAGTGTGTAACTAGGAAGTTTGACGTTTTATTCGTACAAAACAGTGTTGTAGTCGTGCAAAACAACGGCAAGGGAAAGACAAAAAAGCGTGCTGCACGTGCAAATTTGCCTTTTTGCTAATTAGAAGAAAAAGTGTGCTGCACGTGCAATTAGTTTTTTTGCTAATTAGATCTATTAGTCTTGAAGCCATTTTCATTGTCGTCCCCCGTTTAGCGTTACACGATTTAATTTTTTTTGTTTACACGTATTATTAACCAGAGCTTCGCTTTTAGCCCTGGCTAAATCTATATATTAGTCATGCGAAGCGTACAGTTCGAGTTTCGACAAGTTTTACTTCATTATTGTTTGCAATGAGGACATCTACAGTCAATCGCCACTGTATCCCAAAAAGTAACAATGACCACTTCCATCCATAATAATATTTGCCATTATCCTCTTTTAGATGAAAACTTCTTTATTTTCTGTTGTCTAGAATAAGCACACTCGACCGCGACTTTTTGCAAAGGCAATCTTTTTCACTTGTTTGCTCCCCTGATGAAAACCACGTGACATTGCTATTATCACATCAGTCCTTAAGCGCGTGCAAAGACGGCAGGTATTTTAAACTAAGGGTCTTTTGCAGAAAAATAAAATTATTAATACACCTGTTCTTGAGCACTAAACTGGTAGCCGTAGTAGCAACATACCCCAGGCCTTAGAACTTCAATCGTGGGCTGACCATTTTTACTAAAATATTTGTCTCCGTAGTGCATCACGCTTCCATAATCGTAGGGACTCGTAAGGGAATTAATAAAACCATTGTCGTACTTGAGAAAATTGTTTTCGAAACCTGTAAAAATGTGATTAAAAAAAAAAAAGTGCAGTGGAACCTCGATATGACGAAGAGTCAAGGGAATGCCAAAGTGTTTTTGCTATAACGAGGTTTCGTTATATCGAGATTCTTTTTCATGCATTTTACTATTCAGTTGGGGGGTAAAGAAAATCGTTCGTTATACCGAGGCCTTCGTTACATAGAGGTTTGTTTCATCGAGGTTCCATTGTATGTAACTTCCGTGGAGTACAAGAGTACAATGCAAAGCGTTTGACCGGAGGGGGGGGGGGTTGGTCAACAAAGTTTTATGCGGGGAGTCTCCACCCCGAGGTCCAACCCCTCATCCTTTTATATACCATCAAGATACCATTTTTGACAATTTTAACCATTTTTCGATTCCTCTTTATCATAACTTTCATTAGCAAATGGTACCCCTTTCACATACCTAGTTATAATAAAAACTTTGCACCCCTTTAACTGCTGTAAATTCACTGTCGGCTTTTTAATATGAATACAGTCAACTCTCTTCAAGATGGACACCTTTGGGACCGGCACTAAGTGTCCGTCTTAGAGAGGTGTCCGTCTTATAGAGAGTCAAATAAAGGGAGTAAAAGAAAGGCAGGGACCAACTATAGGTGTCCGTTTTACAGAGGTGTCCGTCTTATAGAGGTGTCCGTTAAGAGAGAGTTGACTGCATGTAACTCACAAAACCAGAGCGTTTTCTACACTTTTTATCAGCTATAAAACGCATCTGCTAGATAGCTCTTTCATATAGTTCAACGCGAGAAATCCCTACCCTTTAATATAACTGAAGCCTGAAAAAGGCGGAGCTTCCATGTACGGGCCATTTTAGGGAGTATCCCCGGGGGTATGTGATAGTTCGTAGTGCCTAATCATACCTGTGTACGAAACGAAAAACGTTTTGGGCACGGCACCTTTAATTTTTACTGTGTAAATGATTTAGTTGGTCTGGGTGCCAAGAAATTTAGGGTTGCCTGGTCCATGGGGTTGCTAGGAATAATCGGCATTGCCATATTTAGTGTTTATACCATCACTAAACGATAAAAAATGACGGTATGACATTTACATTCTTACCTGGTCTTATGTTTTGTGTCAATATCCTAACAAAAGAGTCTCTATCAGCACGAGACTGTTCGTGGAAGAAACCGAGGGCATGTCCTACAAAGTGAAAAAATAAAAACTCATCGTATGGTACCATATCAGCGGACATATCAGAACAGCTACGGCTGGATAGGGGTACTGCTACGATTCAACTTAGAGAACGAACGAGGTCCACAAGTCTTTACATTAAACAAAACTTGAACTTTAATCGTTTTCGAGCAAATTCTTTAGAGAACTTCTTGACAGATCAGACGAAACAAATTTCTTGCATAGAGTTAAAGGGAGAATGGGGTTTCTATAACAGACTTTTAAGAACATAAAGAAATTGGGGGTAAATCTGATGATCACTAAAACAAAAATTCTTGCCTAACCAAATCAACTGACTCTCATCTCTCTTCTAATGTAGGTCCCTTAGAAGCAACAAACGATAAAAGAAATTGCTTTGGTGAAAACGTCCTTTTCAAATTAATGTCACTTATTAAATGATATGAATATATATCGATTTACCTATTTCGTGAGCAACAATCCCTCTGGTACGGCATCCCCTCGCAAGATTGATTTCTTGCGGTTGATGCCTAGTCCTTCCAATATTCGAAGAGCACCTAGAAAGAGGGAAAAATTGCCCCACGTAAGGGAATCCAAAACAGTCTTGGATTCTGGATTCCACGCCATGGATTCCGGATTCAAGGTACTGGTTTCCAGATCTTTTTCAGTGGAATTTAGATTCCGGATTCCTTATGCTGTATTCCGGATTCCAAAGTCCAGGATTCTCGATTCCTCATGCAAAAATTTCTCCGATTCCGGAATCCGGATCCCCTTACATAATATACTGCGTGTAGTTAAAGCATTCTCTGTGAAGAAAGTCCTAATTAAAAGCAAATCCCGATCCTGAAAAACCTATTGGAGACCCTTGGTTTTATCGCTTAGACAGTGTGCTGTGATTGTTTCATGTTAGACTCTGATCAATATCTTCCACATCATGACAAACTTAATCTATAACGGTTTCCCATTACATAGATGTTAACCGGGAAAGTACTTCGCTAGGGATTTAGTCGGCCTAGTGTCAGTGAACAAAATAATTCCTGTGTTGTGTTGTATATGTACGGATGCTTGGTACAACATCTTGCCATCCTGCGCCCAGCTGTTTGTCTAGCTTTTTTGAGAATGCTAGAATTTCAGTTCGAGTAATTAAAATTTAGTCTGCCATGAAATTTTCCTGCTAGCAGATGCCTCTTTTCCCTGTTAATAGGCGGGCAGGAGGAATTTAACCGCTGGTACCAGAGGCCAAAAGGCGGGACACATTGAGTTGTGAAATATACCCTTGTGGTCAAATAAAGACCGCTGGTTAAAAGTATTGCAAGACAGTAATGGCGGTCATCATTCACTCGTGCATTTTATTCAATTTTTTTTCCGATTTTATTAGGTTTTACCTAGAAAAAAAGTTATTCGATAACGGTAGCTCGATGATACTAGGGTGGAATTAAGTGTTCCGCCATCACAGAGGTAAATTCTTTACAGATATCAAGGTGGTGAAAATACTAACGATGGTAAATTGATTCGATCACAGTCAGTGGTAAACTGTCTCCATCACGGAAACAAAATAATGTGGCGTAACATGTCCTGTGAATATTTTATTGACGCGCCATATGTATAGCCTCCGTAGCAGGCGCCGGTATGGAGGTCAGCTATTTCGAGGACACACTCGCGACGTGCGCGCGTATGTTCCCCTTGCGTGCTCTGTAAAACCATCCGGCTCCTGCCACGCAGGCTTCGCCATGAGAGTCTTCGGTTTTTCGACGAAACCCTTCTTTACGCCTTATGTTTTGTCGCTCTGCTCACGAAAAATAAAAAAAAAAAGTATAAATTAAATTTGATGTAACCACGACAGGGAACTCGAACGCTGTATTAGCTAATAAAATGTTATTTACCTGTGTTTCCTGAGTCTTAATTAGCCGTTTGCTTGTCTGGCGCGTCATACATAGGACGCACCCGTTAAGTCTCAAGTTAACTATTTACTTTCCTTGGGAGATGATCGCGAGTTTCAATTTAACGGGCACGAGGAGAGTTAACAATACTGGAAACTTGAGACGTAATTGTCGTGTCCTATTTACGACGCGCCAGACAAGCAAACATTTGATACCGGCAATGTTTTTAAATCGTCTTTGATTTGATTCAAATTCCTTCCAAAACGACTCATAAATAAAGACTCAGGAAACACAGGTAAATAGCAACAGATTATTTTGTAGCTAATACAGCGTTCGGGTTCCCTGTGTAACCACCATACCTTAATTGTTAGGCCAGTTTATCATGTACTAACTGCACATTTTACCAGCCTGAGAACGTATTGGTCAAGAGATATTTCTCGAAAGTTTGATATTGGGCTACATTTATATTCTTGGCCTCAATATCCCTGCTCATTTCTGGCGAGCGGTGATAAAAATTAGTCCCTTTGGTGCCAATCACAGTGGCGGATCCAAACCTTTAGGTAAGAGGTGGGGGGGGGGGAGGGGGTCTCCAAAAAACATTTTTTTGGCCCTTTGGGCCGCCGACGGTTTGGACTCAAAATAAGGGCGGGGCCCCCGGGTCCCTCCCCTGGATCTGCTACTAAATCAAATGTTTTTCGAATGCAAGTGATCATTTTCAAGAGTTCTTACCCGCTACTATCCTGGAATAGGACGTAGGATGACTCGTGCGTCCTCTTTTTAAAGCGTATGCAAGTTTTTGAGGTCCATTCATCCATTCCTGCGTTTATAGCGTCCATTGCAGTGGAATTTCCAGCTGAAAATCAGTTCAGTGGTTGAATACTGGATCAGTTGTCAGTTAGGCCCACCCAGAGCCTCCATAGACTAACCCCCCTGGGCTAGGGAATTCCAGGGAGTCCAAGCAACCGCGAAAGCGAAAGCATCGAAACGTTAATTTTATCGAGATTATTTCAACAGGCTCTAACTGGTGAAATGCTGCATAATCTATTTCTGACAGTCAATCTTACGGTTAACGATATCGATCATTCATTTTGAACGCTCATTTAGCAACTTTAGCGTTTTTCGATAACGAACTGTTTATCAGATTGATTGCTTCGCTTACTTGCAAACCGGTCTCACGATTTAAGTAATCTGACTGGTCACTTTGAGGAGGTCTAAAAAATTATTTCAGTTGTAAGAAAATGGCTGTAATTATGTTCGTGCAGAAAAAAAAAGTTTGTCATAACGGGCCGGTTGGCTGTAATAACGTGGTGGGTTTGTTACTGTATAACGGAAACTTTTAAAGTGACTTAGTGCAATGACTTATATGCAGTAGTGCAAAGGCCAAGATTGATTAAACTTCATCTTAAAATAATAGCTAAGGTTTGACTTAGCTTCACCGAGAACTCACCAAGAGTTTGATCGATTTCATAGACAAGTACCCCAAGTGGCCACAGGGCGAAAGTGCTTGCACCTCTTTTGCGCCGGTTTGAGCCAAACACAGGCTTCCCATGCTCTGCTCTGTAACGCTGTTCTGGTGTAAGAATCATGTCTCCCTCAAAAAGTTTAGGATCATTTATGCCTTGATTTTCTGAAAAAAATACAATAACAAGTATGAACAAGTATGGGTTATTAAAAGTCAACACCAAACATCTTGGCTGTACTTGAATGAATCCAAAATTTCAATTATTTTTGATAACGTTTGAAATTGAGTTTTCCCTTTCTGTCTTTTGAATTTTGACTCATCCTTGTTGTTAAGCTTGAAGCAAGACAGAATTACCATGAAGTAGACTGCAAAACAGTTCGTATTTTTGCGTATTCAAGTACGCGCGAGTAGTCAAACAAAAGGTCTGGAACGAGGCTGAAAACAGAGAACGAGACCTGGGGAGAGACGCTTACATGTGGCGGGTCACCCCACGTATCATGTAAACGTAATCAAATTAAAATGCGATATTACAGGGACAGGCGGATTACCCCACCTAAGCGGGTTACCTCACCTTCCTGGGGCCTCCCACCTCCATGTAAACAGGCCCTTAGTTTTCCATCACTTAGACTCAGCTTTGTTTTAGTAGAGATTAAATAAACAGCGTGCTGCAGGGACGATCCTAAATTTTAAACACTTTTCTTACAGGTTTTATGTTTTATCTTGTTTGACTTTTACGTTTTATCTCGTTTGAAAAGTCTAGAAGCGTTTCAAAACAAAAACGCATGCGCGCGAAGTGTTTTGGGCATAAAAATGGGCTTCAAAAAAAAATTGGGGGTCGTCCCTTTCCTAGTACGCAAACCCTCGAAGTGGACTGACTGAAGGTAGGAATTAAAACCAAAATGTATTTGCTTAACGTTCGGTGACTTGAAATGGAGAGAATAGAACTTTTCCCTCAAAAATAAACTAAAATACGTTTTCGGAAAGCGGACCAAACTTCTTGACGTGTTAAATGTATGAAACAGCACTTTAGTACTTTAGTCTTGAGGTACAATTTATTTTATCTTGAAGCATTTTCAAAAAGATACAGCTATACGGGAATACACAGTCGTCGCCTTCCCTAGTCTGATACTCGTAATAGCTATCAATATACTAAATGCTTCATTATATACAGGCTGGTGGCATTTGTAAATCAACAACATAAAACGATTTCGGTGTGTTCAACATAAACTGGGTTAATTTCAAAATTTACAATGACAACGGTTAGGTGTGTTCCTCAAACTCCTTTTCACGGTCCATTTTTATCCCTTGGAAGCTGGCTAGTAACCGATACTTTCTTTTTTGGAGGTTAAGATTGATACAGAATATTAGCTCATATTTTGATAGCATCCTTTTTTGCGTGATAATTTCGTGAACCTAGCCAGTATCTCAATCTTATTGAAACTGTAGATGCATGTAAAATTTTTGTCACGACCTATAATTAAATATGAATTGTTCTTATGCCTTCAATGCTTTTCAAATAAACTTTCATCCTTTTCATATTTGGCAGATTTGTCCTTATAATGATTAATTACTATGGCTGATGATATTTAGAGCTGAAAAACTTTCAGATAGACGTGTCTTGAGATGAGGAGCTGTATTTAGTTGAGCAAATTTATGGGGCTATAATACCCCATTAAAATAAACTGGTTTTAAAATATATTCATAAACAAACAAATTCTACTATTTAGTGGTGCTTTAAACCTAGGCAATTGCTTTCAATTTATCAACGTAAACAATTAATAGTAGAATCAGCTTAACACTGAAGACTATATTAACCAGAGAAGGTGCTAAATGAACATGAGTTCAGTAACAACAACAAAGCTGTCTCACTCATTTCAAATACCCCTGTTGCTCTGATCTATGAGATTTCTACAAAGAAGACTATTTGAAAAACGTCTTTACCCCTTGTTTGGTAAAACCTCTTGAGAAAAGAACTACAATGAATCAGAATCACTCAGAATGTCAAAAATGTCAATTTTGATGTGATCACTTTAATAATAAGGCCGGAGTCAATGGTAACGCAGAAAAAAAGTTGTTCAAGCAGTTGACTAAATATAACCTTATTGTTATGTGAAAGTTAGTACTAAAATACGGCACACAATTTAATCTGCGTGAAAAACCGCCGTTATAGTTCTAACGATATTCGAGGCGTTTTAAGAACAAGAAGAACATTTTAGAATAAATACAACTTTCCTCTGCTATCTGTTGCCTTTTTTTTACCAAACTAAAACTTAAGGGTTTCCTTAAATTCAGAATATTGTAAGTTGTAAAATGACTCCTTCAGAGCAGAGGAGCAGCGATTTGGTGAGACAAGCGAGAAAAATTAAATCCATAAATTTTCTTGACACTGCACCATGTCTCGAGCCATGGGCCTTGGTTAAAGTGTCCATTCTCCTCGGATGAAGCGTTGCAAATTGGCCAATTATTATCATTATCTCAGTTAAAATGCCCGAAAATTGGAAAAAAAATTGTTCCAACCATTTACCAGATTTCAACTTGGAATGTTTTATTCTGAAAAATCTGACTTGTTCCCCTAAAATTAACTTTGGAAACTGGTGTTAACTTGAAGACAAGCAGTAGCAGCGGTTCGAATCATTTTCACACGAAACTCAGAGGCATTTATGATTTGCTGTCTATAATCAAACAGACAAACCAGGCAAACTCAAGTACTCAAGTAAGTTTTTTTTTTTTGCAATTTTGTAAAATGCACTTGGCCTCATTGAAAATAACCAATCATTTTGGACTGGTTCTTAATGCTCCACTTTAAAGTCGTAATTCAAAAAAACACCTCTCTAGAACCAACTCGCATTATCTGGCCAGAAAGGAAGCACAGTACTTCTACATTCGAGTATTATGCCAAATGCGTGCACGCATATGCAATTGAAAGAAAACTGTGTCGAGTGTTTTTTGGTTCGGTCTGCCATCAAACAACAACAAGGAAACTAAATGTGATTTGATCCCAACTGTGGTACTACTTTCTTTTTCCCCTCGTTTTATCGTTGCAAGAGAATTGTTAGTAATATTTAGTGCCTTATGGAAGTACAAAAGAAGTGTTTTAGAGTTCGGCCATTAGGGTCTCTTAAGTAATTAATGAGTAGTGAATCCGGAAAGAGGAACACTTACCATCAGGGTTGTGTGAATTGCTATGCACAGTTCTAATCAACAGAAGAATAACCAACCAATACATACTGGGTTTTGCGCACCGTAAGCTGAGACTCGTTCACCTGAATAGTTCTACAGTACAACCTGTATGTTTTGTGCACTTAACAAAGCTATAATCCATAAGTTATATATACTGAACTATATGTCATATTGATCGATTTTTCCTTTGGATATCAACAGTGCCAGTTTATGCTTTAAAGCTAGAGAAGGAGAGGGCAGGATACTCCTTGTAATAGGCTTTTTATAGCGCAACTGCAAAATAAAGTAAACCGCTCTCCTATTGGACCGGTATTGCGGTAAATCTTTTTCTTAGCCAGTGACTGACGTAGTTGCCGGTCGGTAAATGATTTTAAGGTACCGAACAGAAATGTTCTCATCGTCGACAAGGTCCAAATATGGTCGCTTCGTTTGTGTTCTAGATTGTTGTTTGCAAATAGTTGACCTGTATCAAACCCACGCCGAACATAACCAATATCAAATTTGGCACTTTCTAAACTTTCTCATTAGCACTTTAAAATAATCAGAAAATCATTATACTTGTGTATTAAGAATCAAAACTCGTGAAGAAGATTTTAAAGGCCTTAGTGTATGCTACAGTTCTTGTTTTTGATTTTGTAATGTGATACCGCGGGTTATAATAAGAAACCGTTGATTCTTAGGGCGCTTTCCATTTGTCAGAACTGACCCGCCAGACCATTCCCGTACGCGTCGTCTTAAAGAGAATTTCACCTTTCAACAAAACTATCCAGCCACATTAGTCAAATCCTAAGTAGTGTGCATGAAGGAGATGGGTTTTCAGTAAAATCTCTTGGAAAGAGCCGATTTAATTTGCTAACTGACTGGTCCGGCAATGGTCCGGCCGGACAGTTCTGTCAAATGGCGGAAAGCGCCCTTAGTTACGTTTTCTCATTTTAATTCAGGCCGCAGTGAAATAGTAATTTCTATGATTGACTTGTTGCATAATTTTGCGACCACGCTCCCCCTTATTTGCTCGACGCAAATATTGTGTGTACTTGTTCATCGGTGAAAACAAATCGGGGAAAAGTTTTCTAACTGCGCCCAGCCGGCGGAATAAGAACACAAGCAATACAACACAATGCAATACAATTTATTTCGCATATCTCAATATATAGTTTTACAGTTTTTTATATACTAAATTAAAAAAGAGAGAGTTGTTTAATACAGTAGGAGGGTCGAATATATTAAACACAGTCCCATTTAACGCCATTGCACGTTACACATGGGGCAACGAACAAAACAAATTTAGGCTTCGCCTACCGACTAATGTATACGTTACTGAATAATTAAGCGGCAGTCACCACCTATTAAGGGCCCGCCCTCTATTAAGCGGCCAATAATCACAATTCCGAAATATTTGTGGAAAGAATGGGAACTAGTAAATCTCTATAAGCGGCATTCCTCTATTAGCGGCCAAGGACACCTTTTGGTCGTCCCAACGAGAGTTCTACCATTGTTGTCAGTCTTTATTAAGCGGCTGTCAAGCTTTTGATGCTTAGTCTGGCTTTATTTCAAAGAATATGAAGAAGGAAAATACTAATATGGACCTGTAATGCTGCTCCCTTCGCGGATCCTTAGAGATGTTTCTGCTACAGGTTGTGCTCATGTTATGCTAATTTATGACGAACCTCTACTGAGCCAACCTCCATTAAGCGGCCACTTTCCGGTACCCTGAGGTTCAACCGTAGCTTGTCATTCCGAAATGCAATACTCCGGCTTTGTATACTGTTTTTGAACACCCGTGTACACTGCCTGATGAAGAGTGGCACACTGTTCCAACCTATCCTATATGTGTGACGAACCACTTTCAACTGAGATTAATTGGCGCAGCGCAGCTTCGCACTCCGAAACCTCTCCTAATTCTTTGCTCAAAAGCCCTAGACTTATGCTAATAAATGAAATTTCATTGTCGTGAATACTTTGTCTTCTTAATATGAATAAATCTCTACAGCAAGAAGCTTTGAAAAGGGTCTGTTAGCCCTCTTACGTCCTTTTACTCAAAATTACAGGTTACCCTTACCCTTTCACACTTTTACTTGTGAAACCCCACTTACTCTTTTATACACCTGAAGCCTGAAAAACGTGACCTTCTGGGCGGAGATTGCCCGTAGAGACCGTCGTAGGGAGTACCCTCGGGTATTTGTTTGCGGATTTGCAATATCAGTGTTGAAAGTATTACTGTGAGACATGTTAAAACACAGCCTAACAAAAGCTGTAAAGTTCATCGTTGTGAACTGCAGCGTTATGATACAGTGAATCAAAGTCCGAAGGATAATCAGAATATATATATAAACTAAGTTTCATAGAAAAATAATCAAGACGATTATAAGATTATGAATGTTGGCAATACTTCGGTTTCTTTTAAACCATCATTAGGCCACTAGGTTAAACATAAAAGAGACAGCGTGGCGCGGTTTTAAATGAGGCTCTCGTAAGAAAAATTCACACTGTGTTGGCTTTGAGTCCAGAGTTAATTACAGGTTGCCTTATTTGAAATAGCAGTGAAACGTGAGGTATAGTAGCAAATTTTGCGAATAATCTGTATAGTACATCCAGTGTTCATCCTTATAATCAGTTACACGCAAGGTAAACGTATGTACTTTTGTCTCAAAAATATATACCGTAAAATTCCAAAAATAAGCCCCGGGGCTTATATTTTTCAAAGACCCTTTTTGAGGGGCTTATATTCTGAGGGGCTTATCTACGGAGGGAAATTTGCGTTTCAAAATCAATTGGGCTAGCCTTACAGTTGGAATTAAATTTACCTTTTTTGCTTTGTTCTTCTTTGTATTTGAGGGCAATTTTCCAAGTACAAGCCCCCAGGGGCTTATATTTGGAGGGGCGATTTAACGGAGGGTTTTTTGCGTTGCCGGTTAGGGGGGCTTATATTTGGAGGGGCTTCTACATGGAGGGGCTTATTTTCGGAATTTTTAGGTTTATTAGTTTCAGCTTGCACCACATTTTATAACGCAAATGGCATCTTTTTATCGGAATCAGTTCGTACACCAAAAAGGTGGTACAGTTTAGGACACGAATATAACGAGACCACATGCACGACCTGTCATATTTTCTGCGCCTTCTATCTCGTCCAGCCCAATGAAAACACACTCTGCGTCGGACAGCACCTTGATTCACTGTCGGATGACTGCCGCTGAGCCACCCAGTTGCATCTGTCCCACAGCGTGATATGGGGACGACTTGGGAAGGCATTTTTGTACCTGCCGCACCCATAAACCTGTACCAGCCCCTTCGCAAGCGGCCATCGCATTTGCGGACAACGTTCTTTAGAGTTTGGTAATCGTTCTTGCGGTCAGTCTCATTGAGAATCCTGTAGTTATTACGTGCTAGGAAAAAAAAGGAAAGAAAAGAAAACATGGTAATAAACTTTTGAAACCTTAAAATATGAAGGAGAAGGGGATGATAAACATTACAATCAAAACATGTATAGATATCTGACAAAACACTCCTCGTTTATAAATATAATAATCAATAATAATGATGATGATGATGATCCGGGGACATGCCGAAGCCGCGTTTTGCAAGCTCAATAAGCCAATCTGCAAAACATTTTTTTTCTTCATTTTTTATTAAAAAAAAAAAAAGCTTGGGGATGGGACCTCAATCCGACGGTCAAAGGTCACTCTCCTATTTAGTCTGACCTGCAGTGTAGATTTCATCACGCTCAGTCCCCACAATAAGCCTGCTTTTCTAGCAATAATTCCTCCATCTTTCACATCTTTCAATCCCTTTCTGAACTTTTTTTGACCGTTGCAGCCCCATTCTAGCAGTGACAACTGGGGATAGTATGAGAATTCCAGGTTCAACTCCGACGCTTCCGGTTAATTAGGTCATGGTAGATTTGGGAAGCTGCCCTTAGAATCTTAACATTTCCTTTTTCTAGTAGGTGTTTCTTTCACTAAGTAGAAGAAGACCTTACCATCAGGATTATGCGAATTGCTATACACAGTTCTCGCCAAGAAAAGAACGACAAACCAGTATATGTTGCGTCTTTTGCACCTCTAGCTGAGTCACCTTCACCTCAATAACTATACGTTTTAAGACACTTAAGACACCTATAGTGTGAAGGCAATTATATATCCTAAACTAATTATAGTGATATTGATAGTAAGATTTGATCATGTCCTTCTTTGGGTAAAAATACATCTTGGGCTAGTTTCAGTTTAGCAAGCAGGACAATAGTCTGATTATAGTGTTACTGTCCAATATTCAAACCAGAAAATAGATGAGGTTTCATAGCCACTGATAGCCAGCGACGTAGATGCAGCTGATAACTGTGTTTATATAAACACTTGTTTGCCAGACACGAGTTCACAAATCTTTGATTGGAAAAATTAGGCAGACACTCCTTCTCTGTCTTTGGGGGAATAAGACTAAATCCCAAACAAGCAAGACGAGTGAATCAGGTGAATCAACGGCTAGATTATCACTGGCAGAACGATGGACGATTACAGAAATTGGCCGACAACCAAATTCTGTGCTGACTTATTCCCTACTCACAGACTCACAGACTGTCTGTACTCACAGACGTCCTTCCCGGAATAAAGTTTGTAAAAAGGCTAGAAGGCGCGAGCGTGAATTGATCAAACCTGTTAATTTCTAAGGTTTACTTTCCGACAAATAAAATGAACCGTATATAAGAAGTGAAAGAGAAATAGCGAAAAATCCCAGCTTCTAAATAAATCCTTTCTTATAGCTTAGAATAAACTATTCTCGAAACTGGGAATGTTTTCATATCAAAGCTGTGTAAATCGAACCGAAACAGTGCATGTGTAACCTTGTGTTTCCTGTTTTTACTCTCACCCATTGTATGGAATATGTGTGAAAGTCTTCATTATGAATTGGTATATTTCAAAGAGCTACACAGCGACTAAGAACACTATTGACCGACGATATACAGAGAGGGAGAAGCTGTTTCAGTTGTGCCAACTATTACTAGTTAACAACTGTGTTTGGCAATGGTACATTGCTATCACCGTCATTCCAACTGTTGGATGCCAGTTTTGCGAGGGTACATTGTCATCATCATCATCTTTATTCATCATCCTCGGAGGAATCACTCTCAACTTCCTGCACAACATAGTCCTCACTACTCTCTTCGCTTGCTTCTGAGCTGCTGTTTGCTTCAGAGTTACTTGCATCTTGACCTTTTCTGATGGAGACACTTTGTATAGCTGCTGACAGCTGAATGTGAGCTGACACCAATTTTGGCTTGTCTTTTTAAGGCAATTTCTTTTCAGATGTCAGACTCTTTGCTTTTTAAGCAGATCCTCATGAAGAAGTTTCTCCCACTCCAGATCCTCATAGCTAAGGTTTTTCTCCCTTTCTGTCTTCTCTCTTCTTTCTCTTTCCCTCCGTATCGTCATTTCCAGGTACGCAAGGTGATGCAAGTATTTATTTTTCCCCTATAGACCTATGAAATGCTACCTTTCGTAATATTAGCAGATTTATTGATCCTTAACATACGCTCACATATTGAATTTGGGACGCCTGTGTTCTCTGGTGTAACATCACGTGGTTTGAAAACGTACAAGCTAAAAGGGTCTATTCTTCCCCACTCGGTAGTCTCCCTCGCAGCCGTTTTTTGGATGTCACGCATTGCGCGTTGCGTGACATCCAAAAAACGGGTGCGAGGGAGACTACCCACTCGGAGTATTTAATGAGATCTATGCTTCATGTTTCTTTACATTATAATTATTAAGTCAGATATTAATGTTGGCCGAGTGATACTGTGGGTGAATTCTGTTTGCTGGGATACAAAATAATCAATGAAAGTTTCCATTTGGGATAAATTTTGCCATAGGAGTGTGGCCGTTTATTTAATTTAGTCAAGCGTATAAAGCGCTTGAAACTAGGAAAATTCAGATACACGAGAAGATAATCCCAGCAAAAGAGGTCAGGGTACCCTCGCCATTCAGAAGAGTAAAGTGGAACAAAACGGGGAGGGGGAGAAGGGTGGCATCTTTGTTCGCTTTCATGTCTTAAGAAATTATACACATGACAATGTCCCGCATGGCAGGAACAACCCCTCAACGGCAGCAAGAGAAATGCAACTTTGATCAGTCTCATCAAAAATTAAACCGTTTATTTCAGTTTTTACCGAGGTTACTCTTAGTTTCCTGAAAAAGAAATGATCTTCGACACTGTGCAAAATTGATTCTACGTACTGAGCATGTTAACACATGAAGTTCAACAAAATACCTAACAGGAGCTCAAAGTAACTTCAGCCTTTTCAACACAACTTGAGATGCAATTTTCTTGATGACAAAAACATTCGATAACAAGTTAAATTTAATTAAAGTGGTTTAAGCACGGTGTATTTTAAGACAGTATTAAAACTATGTTTAGGTAGAAACTTAGAATGAGCATGAGCCTCTGAAACGGCGTCAGTCTCGATCATTGCTGTGACTTTATGAGATCAAGGACATCTATTGCAGGTCCTCCGGCAGGAGCTTGGAGCGAAAGAACACCAGAAAAACCNAGAAATTATACACATGACAATGTCCCGCATGGCAGGAACAACCCCTCAACGGCAGCAAGAGAAATGCAACTTTGATCAGTCTCATCAAAAATTAAACCGTTTATTTCAGTTTTTACCGAGGTTACTCTTAGTTTCCTGAAAAAGAAATGATCTTCGACACTGTGCAAAATTGATTCTACGTACTGAGCATGTCAACACATGAAGTTCAACAAAATACCTAACAGGAGCTCAAAGTAACTTTAGCCTTTTCAACACAACTTGAGATGCAATTTTCTTGATGACAAAAACATTCGATAACAAGTTAAATTTAATTAAAGTGGTTTAAGCACGGTGTATTTTAAGACAGTATTAAAACTATGTTTAGGTAGAAACTTAGAATGAGCATGAGCCTCTGAAACGGCGTCAGTCTCGATCATTGCTGTGACTTTATGAGATCAAGGACATCTATTGCAGGTCCTCCGGCAGGAGCTTGGAGCGAAAGAACACCAGAAAAACCTAAACCAAGCGCAAGAGGAGGCATTGTCTTGACAGATAGCTAAAAAAAGAGTAAAAAGAACGTTAAAGACAAATCTTCCGCAGCCTTCTTTCCCTCCGCCCCTGGGAAAGATCTGCTCAGAAAAGGACCAAACAAAAAAAAATATTGGAGACAAAACACCCAGAAGAATACTCCCTGTTTTAGTGATGAAAGGTGCAGATATGAAAATGTAAATAAAAGGGTAAGAGGCTGGACCTCGGAGCCTCGATCCCATACTTTGTTGAGCTGGCGTCACAGGGTGAAGAGAGGCACTCGTTCAAATCTAGCAATTGATCGATCGTAAAAGAATGTGAGTCATGTATTTTATATTACAACTGTGGCCTGTTATCAAAGCCTCCCTTTCACTTCTCGATTTTGTGTTGGCAGCGTACTCGAGAACGTAATGAATTAAGGGAGATCTTGCTTGAATGTGCTGCTTGTTGCTGGGATATAATATTCTAACATAGGCTTAATAGCAGTGTGCTTGGTACAGCTGGCACATTTATGACCATTGGTTTATCAATAAACGGATGCTCCCAGTCGGAAAACCAGTTTTGATTATCTCGTAGAATGAGGTTGGAGGGTTGGGGTCTTTCTTGGAAAACTCACTTACCAGTTGTAGGAGGAGGAGGAGGAGGAGCTGTGCTTGGTACTGCAAGATTAAAATTAATAAAACAGTTTTACTTTGCTTTGTAGTCTTTTTAAAAATAGGTGGATGGGTGGATGCATTTGCGACCGAGCTGCATCGAATTCACCACTTGTTCATGAATATTCGTGTAAAATTTATAAGTTAAAACTGAATTATTATGCAGCTGGATTTTGAAAAACGTTAGTTCTTTCTCTTTCCCATAAGTTACTCTTTTCGTTTTTTGTAGTTTAGTCTTTGGGCTTATGGGATGCAAGAAAGGCATTTTAGTTTTCACCTCGCTCAAACTGCATGCTCCGATCATCATTAAGTACGTTTTCGTTTAACAAAAAATAATGGATTGCTCAACTGGCCAGAGGGAAAGGAGAATAGTTCTAATGCATTTCCTGCTAAAATAATCTCGTGCACTGGCGGATGTCTGCTTACTGGCAAAATACTTTAAACAGAAGAAGGTTTTTTAAAACAGATCGCTTAACTTATTATGGTAAGAATTGCTTGTTAACGTTCAAGGGTTATTTACAGAGCTTTGGGTTAGCTAAAACCAAGAATTCAAAATGATTTCGACTTGTTCAAACTTAACCTTTTACCAGATATTGTTATGTCAAGACAACCGGGATATAGTCAGTGGACGTCAAACATCCGCGATTGCCTATGCAAGCACAAGTACTCGGATGAATGTGTGTGCGATTTAATGGAGCACTATTTGTTAGCACAAAAAGCTCAATTTATCTTCAATGGAATAATCAAATTTAATAGTTTATGTGATTTCAGTGGCAAAACGACATAAGCGATTCGAAGTATAGAGGAATGTTCTACCTGACCCTCAAGACACCACGATGGTACCCATTTTAGCTTCTGGTTTATTTTGTACTAGTCTTATTTAGGAAAGAACTAACTTGGTGTAAATTTATCTTACCTGTGCAAGATAGTCCATTTCCAGTATATCCAGCAATACACGTGCAAGTAAAGGAACCAATGGTATTCTGACAAACGGCATTGGCGTCACAGGGTGAAGAGAGGCACTCGTTCAAATCTAGTAATTGAGCGATGGCAAAAGAATATGAGTCATGTATTTTACAATTACATTACTGTGGCCTTTTATCAAAGCTTTCCTTTCACTTCTCGATTTTGTGTTGGCAGCGTACTCGAGAACGTAATGAATTAAGAGAGATCTTGCTTGAATGTGCTGCTTGTTGCTGGGATATAATATTCTAACACAGGCTTAATAGCAGTGAGCTTGATACAGCGGGCGCATTTATGACAGTACCCATTTTAGCTTCTGGTTTATTTTGTACTAGTCTTATTTAGGAAAGAACTAAATTTGTGTAAATTTATCTTACCTGTGCAAGATAATCCATTTCCAGTATATCCAGCAATACACGTGCAAGTAAAGGAACCAATGGTATTCTGACAAACGGCATTGGCGTCACAGGATGAAGAGAGGCACTCGTTCAAATCTAGCAATTGATCGATCGCAAAAGAATGTGAGTCATGTATTTTACAATTACAACTGTGGCCTTTTATCAAAGCTTCCCTTTCACTTCTCGATTTTGTGTTGGCAGCGTACTCGAGAACGTAATGAATTAAGGGAGATCTTGCTTGAATGTGCTGCTTGTTGCTGGGATATAATATTCTAACATAGGCTTAATAGCAGTGCGCTTGGTACAGCTGGCACATTTATGACCATTGGTTTATCAATAAACGGATGCTCCTTGTCTGAAAACCAGTTTTGATTATCTCGTAGAATGAGGTTGGAGGGTTGGGGTCTTCCTTGGAAAACTCACTCACCAGTTGTAGGAGGAGGAGGAGGAGCTGTGCTTGGCACTGCAAGATTAAAATTAATAAAACGGTTTTTACTTTGATTTGTAGCCTTTATAAAAATAGATGGATGGGTGGATGTATTTGCGACCGAGCTGCATCGTATTCACCACTTGTTCATGAATATTCGTGTAAAATTTATAAGTTAAAACTGAATATGTAGCTAGATTTTGGAAAAAAACGTTTCTTCTTTCTCTTTCCTATAATCATCTTCTCCTTTTTTTCTTAGTTTGATTTTTGGGCTTATGGGATGCAAAAAAAGGCATTTTAGTTTTCACCTCGCTCAAACCACTGCAATGGTCATAAGGTACGCTTTCGTTTTACAAAAAATAATGGATTGCTCAACTGGCAAGAGGGAAAGGAGAATAGTTCTAATGAATTTCCTGCTAAAATCATCTCAGGCACTGGAGGGAAAAGATGATAGAACTTTTCTTTCCTTTAAGACCGCAGACCTCAACAATGCTCAATAGAAGGTCATATATACCTCGTGCTTGCGCAGATCTTTCTCGCCTTAGCCAGAATGGGACTTGCTTTGGCAAGGATGGGTGTGGGGGAAAGAGGGGGAGTAGCGTGTGTTGCCAAACGGTGTGTTGTTTAATCATGTTTTAGAAATAAGGTGTTTAAATTTTTATAACATACCTGCAGTTTTAGGCCGCGCTGAAAAGAAATCAGTTTAGAAGTAATTAATTTTTTTTTTTAACAGCACATTTTTGTAATTTTGAACTAACTCGATCTGTCTTCATATAAATTATCGTATTCGTTTTAAAGTTTGCTTTCCACAAGGGTTCTAAGACTTTCCAATTTCTAAATAAAAATTAAGTTTAACTCAAAATAAAGTTGAATTACTGTTAATTGAGTCGCCCTTTTTTTCCTCTAAACTACTTAAGCCAGGACCCTCGCTATATATTGTTTATATGGAGGGCCAATACTAATACTACTACGTCAACTACTGATCATGAAGACAACTGCTGACTACAACTTTCCAAATGCATGCGATTAATAGGTAACTTTGAATGCAGGGAACTAAATTGCCGTTGGCTTGTTTGTAGAGCTTACCGTCGCACAATGCCTGGTAGAGCAGGTTTGCTTGTTGCGCATCAATTGGACTTAGGCCATTTCTTTGGCCAATTTTAGCCTAAAAGAAAAAAGTAAAGTAAGGTATGGAATTAACTTCTTAACGACTACAGCCTTTTCAATTCCTTTTCATGAAGACCAGATCTTGTATTTCATATTGGGGTCAAATCAGACCCATTTAACTGAGGTTTCTGGTAAACGTGCCACCTACCCATCCCCTAAACCAACATTAACACTTAATTCTCACTTAAGGGAAAATTTTGGCTTAGGGGAGGGGTAGGTGGGCAGCTTCGCATAAACCCTAATTGATCTTCTGAGTCAAAAATGTCCCACAGATGCCCTTCTGTGTCAATAGTGATCTCACCCCTTCACGTACCTCAGTAATAAAATATTAACTAGTAATAACCAAAGGTTACGGAGTGCGGGCGACACAGATCGAAAGTCTAAACGCTTTTGCTATAGCACTGTGCCTTGCGTAAGCTTCACGTGACAAATAATCAAAACACGCGAGACCAGATTACGAGTGATAGAAGGTTCAAAGGCGCGTGATCAAATTGCATTCTGCACATTCCATGCATTCTTAGTGGAAGTCCAAACAAATGTTGGCTACAAACATGCGACGCATTCGTAATAACAACCTGGGCCCGGTTGCATAAAAGCTACACTTAAGTGCCCACTCAAGTAGGTCACTTACGAATCCGTTATGGGTACACTTGCGGGTGTTGCATGAAACGCACTTAGCACTCTCGTAAGTTACTCTTGTACGTGGTAAATTACGGGTTCACTTAAAGGCACACGTAACTTTGATGTAGTACTTTATTAATGACTCACTCTTTTTTTTTAAGCTAACCATCGGTGAGTGTAAAGAAAGTTTTAATTCGTTTCGAACACTTTTAAGCCTTAAAAAAAATTGAAATTTGCATGCAATCGTTATTTTTCTTCAATGTCTACTGAAAATGATAATTCTTCTTCTTTTTTCACAACGTCGGCTTTAAAGTGTACATCAGAGGTTAACAAAGCGCATTAGAACGAATTACGTGAAGAAAAATTACTTTTTTTCTACTTCTCAGAAAAAGATTTCGTTAACTTTAGTAAAAACAGTAACGATACGGGACCTACATAGGTCCCGTAAATTTACGTGCTATTTTTCCCCTAAAAAACGTTTTATGCAACACCCACAATTTCTGTTGCATAACCGACACTTCAGTGAACACTTACGAAAATCGTAAGTACAACCACTTAATTGAATTCCCTAAGTGGACCACTTAAGTGATTTAATGCAACTCACTTAAGTTGCGAGTGCACGTACGTATACCCGTAGTTGTTACGGGCGTTTTATGCAACCGGGCCCTGGAGATTGGGATTGAGGGCTCCTCTTGTCGCCCGCAATAAAATGAAGAGACCTTTTTTACGATACCCGCCATCTTTGCCAGTGTCAAGTAGTATTTCAGGGGGCAAGCTAGTGATAAAATCTTTACCAACACGAGTAATTGCGGTCGTGTTTGTTTATTCTATCAAATCTAGACCAGGATTTAATAGTCATGCGAAGCGTACAGTTCGAGTTTCAACAAGTTTTACGTCATTATTGTACGTTTGCAATGAGGACATCTACAGTCGATCGCCACTGTATCCCAAAAAGTAACAATGACCACTTCCATCAATAATAATATTTGCCATTATCGTCTTTTAGATGAAAACTTCTTTATTTTCTGTTGTCTAGAATAAGCAGACTCGACCGCGATTTTTTGCAAAGGCAATCTTTTTCATTTGTTTGCTCCCCTGATGAAAACCACCTGACTTGCTATTATCACATCAGCCAGCGCGTGCAAAGACGGCAGGTATTTTAAACTAAGGGTCTTTTGCAGAAAAATAAAATTATTAATACACCTGTTCTTGAGCACTAAACTGGTAGCCCTAGTAGCAACATACCCCAGGCGTTAGAACTTCAATCGTGGGCTGACCATTTTTAGTAAAAAATTTGTCTCCGTAGTGCATCACGCTTCCATAATCGTAGGGACTCGCAAGGGAATTAATAAAACCATTGTCGTACTTGAGAAAATTGTTTTCGAAACCTGTAAAAATGTGACAAAAAAAAAACAAGTGCAGTGGAACCTCCATATAACGAAGAGTCAAGGGAATGCCAAAGTGTTTTTGCTATAACGAGGTTTCGTTATATCGAGATTCTTTTTCATGCATTTTACTATTCAGTTGGGGGGTAAAGAAAATCGTTCGTTATACCGAGGCCTTCGTTACGTTGAGGTTCGTTTTATCGAGGTTCCACTGTATGTAACTTCCGTGGAGTACAAGAGTACAATGCAAAGCGTTAAGAGAGAGTTGACTGTAACTCACAAAACCAGAGTGTTTTCTACACTTTTTATCAGCTATAAAATGCATCTGCTAGATAGCTCTTTCATATAATTCAACGAGAGAAATCCCTACCCTTTCATATAACTGAAGCCTGAAAAAGGCGGAGCTTCCCTTTACGGCCATTTTAGGGAGTATCCCGGCTGGGGTATGTGATAGTTCGTAGTGCCCAATCATACCTGTGTACGAAACGAAAAACGTTTTGGGCACGGCACCTTTAATTTTTACTGTGTAAATGATTTAGTTGGTCTGGGTACCAAGAAATTTAGGGTTGCCTGGTCCATGGGGTTGCTAGGAATAATCGGCATTGCCATATTTAGAGTTTATACCATTAAAAAACGATAAAAAATGACGGTATGACATTTACATTGTTACCTGGTCTTATGTTTTGTGTCAATATCCTAACAAAAGAGTCTCTATCAGCACGAGACTGTTCGTGGAAGAAACCGAGGGCATGTCCTACAAAGTGAAAAAATAAAAAATCATCGTATGGTACCATATCAGCGGACATATCAGAACAGCTCCGGCTGGATAGGGGTACTGCTATGATTCAACTTAGAGAACGAACGAAAACTCCACAAGTCTTTACATTAAACACAACTTGAACTTTAATCGTTTTCGAGCAAATTCTTTAGAGAACTCCTTGACAGATCAGACGAAACAAATTTCTTGCAAAGAGTTAAAGGGAGAATGGGGTTTCTATAATAGACTTTTAAGAACATAAAGAAATTTGGGGTAAATCTGATGATCACTAAGAAAAAAATTCTTGCCCTAACCAAATCAACTGACTCTCATCTCTCTTCTAATGTAGGTTCCTTAGAAGCAACAAACGATAAAAGAAATTGCTTTGGTGGAAACGTCCTTTTAAATTAATGTCACTTATTAAATGATATGAATATATCTCGATTTACCTATTTCGTGAGCAACAATCCCTCTGGTACGGCATCCCCTCGCAAGATTGATTTGTTGCGGTTGACGCCTAGTCCTTCCAATATTCGAAGAGCACCTAGAAAGAGGGAAAAATTGCCCCACGTAAGGGAATCCAAAACAGTCTTGGATTCTGGATTCCACGCCGTGGATTCCGGATTCAAGGCACTGGATTCCAGATCTTTTTCAGTGGAATTTAGATTCCGGATTCCTTATGCTGTATTCCGGATTCCAAAGTCCAGGATTCTCGATTCCTCATGCAAAAATTTCTCCGATTCCGGAATGCGGTTCCCTTTTCATAGTATACTGCGTGTAGTTAAAGCATTCTCTGTGAAGAAAGTCCTAATTAAAAGCAAATCCCGATTCTGAAAAACCTGTTGGAAACCCTTGGTTTTATCGTTTAGACAGAGTGCTGTGATTGTTTCATATTAGACTCTGATCAATATCTTCCACATCATGACAACCTTAATCTATAACGGTTTCCTATTACATAGATGTTAACCGGGAAAGTACTTCGCTAGGGATTTAGTCGGCCTAGTGTCAGTGAACAAAAGAATTCCTGTGTTGTGTTGTATATGTACGGTTGATACAACATCTTGCCATCCTGCGCCCTGTTTGTCTAGCTTTTTGGAGAATGTTAGAATTTCAGTTTGAGTAATTAATATTTAGTCTGCCATGAAATTTCCCTGCTAGCAGATGCTTCTTTTCCCTGTTAATAGGCGGGCAGGAGAAATTTAACCGCTGGTACCAGGCACATAATATTGAAGGCCAAAAGGCGGGGCACATTGAGTTGTGAAATATACCCTTGTGGTCAAATAAAGACCGCTGGTTAAAAGTATTGCAAGACAGTAATGGCGGTCATGGCGGTTAAATAACAAGCTTTAAAATCATAGATTTTAGAGTCAATTTTAGCCAAGGAAGGCCGAAATATCGCATATCGGTTTGGACTCAAAATAAGGGCGGGGCCGCCGGGTCCCTCCCCTGGATCTGCTACTGAATCAAATGTTTTTCGAATGCAAGTGATCATTTTCAAGAGTTCTTACCCGCTACCATCCTGGAATACGACGTAGGATGGCTCGTTCGTCCTCTTTTTAAAGCGTATGCAAGTTTTTGAGGTCCATTCATCCATTCCTGCGTTTATAGCGTCCATTGCAGTGGGATTTCCAGCTGAAAATCAGTTCAGTGGTTAAATAGTGGATCAGTTGTCATTTAGGCCCACCCAGAGCCTCCATAGACTAACCCCCCTGGGCTAGGGAATTCCAGGGAGTCCAAGCAACCGCGAAAGCGAAAGCATCGAAACGTTAATTTTATCGAGATTATTTCAACAGGCTCTAACTGGTCAAATGCTGGCGAATTTTCATGAAGAGTTGATAATTTGGGAACACATCAAATTTTAGAAATAGAAGAACATCGATTTTAACGTCCTCTATAAAAACGTCACTTTGTAAAGTTCCACCACGTCATAGCTGTGGAGTGATCACAAACTAATGTGCAATGCGCGAGCCGAGGTGCTATTTTGCTCATCAAATATATCGCGCTTTAATTCCGACGTCGTCGTCACGGTGTGGTTGCTTCTGATTCCTGATGGTATTAAAGGCGTGTTTTCTAACGGATGTAACGTTGCAAAATGTTCGTTATATTACAGGTATACTCACTAGGGCTTTATACTGACAAGCATAATCTATTTCTGACAGTCAATCTTACGGTTAACGATATATCGATCATTCATTTTGAACGCTCATTTAGCATGCAACTTTAGCGTCTTTCGAAAACAAACAGTATCTGCTTATCAGATTGATTGCTTCGCTTACTTGCAAACCGGTCTCACGATTTAAGTAATCTGACTGGTCACTTTGAGGAGGTCTAAAAAATTATTTCAGTTGTAAGAAAATGACTGTAATTATGTTCGTGCAGAAAAGTTTGTCATAACGGGTTGGCTGTAATAACGTGGCGGGTTTGTTACTGTATAACGGAGACTTTTAAAGTGACTTAGTGCAATGACTTATATGAAGTAGCGCAAAGGCCAAGATTGATTAACCTTCATCTTAAAATAATAGCTAAGATTTGCCTTAGTTTCACCGAGAACTCACCAAGAGATTGATCGATTTCATACACAAGTACCCCAAGTGGCCACAGGGCGAAAGTGCTTGCACCTCTTTTGCGCCGGTTTGAGCCAAACACAGGCTTCCCATGCTCTGCTCTGTAACGCTGTTCTGGTGTAAGAATCATGTCTCCCTCAAAAAGGTTACGATCATTTATGCCTTGATTTTCTGAAAAAAAAAAACAATAACAAGTATGAACAAGTATGGGTTATTAAAAGTCAACACCAAACATCTGGGCGGTACTTGAATGAATCCAAAATTTCAATTATTTTTGATAACGTTTGAAACTGAGTTTTCCCTTTCTGTCTTTTGAATTTTAACTCATCCTTGTCGTTAAGCTTGAAGCAAGACAGGATTACCATGAGGTAAAACGTAATTGCACAAGAAACGAAAACCTAGGTGACGCTCATACTCCACCGTGATCAAACGTCTGGAGTGTTCTTTGTTTGTTTGTTTCTTTCTTGGGGTTTCATTCACCATAAGTGAAAACATGGACAAAGATGTATAACAGAATTAGTATTTAACGCGGATCTTTGCCTTGTTCTCAAAAACAATGAGCTTCTTTATTTTTATTTAAAACGCTACGCGCCCGAGAAAAATTTTGTTGGCAAATTAATGACTCCGGCATTAATACTAGTTTTAGGGCCTGTTTATACATGGAGGTGGGGGACCCCAGATAGGTAAGGTAACACGTGGCGGGTCACCCTACCTATGATGTAAACGTGATCAAATTAAAATGCGAGATTATATGGACAGGCGGGCTACCCCACCTAAGCGGGTTACCTCACCTACCAGGGGCCTCTCCATGTAAACAGGCCCTTAGTTTTCCAGCACTTAGACTCAACTTTGTTTTAGTAGAGATTCAAAAAGTTTATTGAATAAACGGCGTGCTGCAGGGACGATCCTAAATTTTGAACACTTTTCTTACGGGTTTTATGTTTTATCTCGTTTGACTGCGGTTAATGCCCTTACCGTCAACGACTGGAACTACGTCGAGAGGCGTTGTTCTGCGAAAAGTCTAGAAGCGTTTCAAAACAAAAACGCATGCGTGCGAAGCGTTTTAGACATAGAAATGGGCTTCAAAGAAAAAATTGGGGGTCGTCCCTTTCCTAGTACGCAAATCCTCGAAGTGGACTGACTAAAGGTGGGTATTAAAACCAAAATATATTTGCTTAACGGTCGGTGACTTGAAATGGAGAGAATAGAACTTTTCCCTCGGAAAGCGGGCCAAACTTCTTGACATGTTAAATGTATGAAACAACACTTTACTCTTAAGGTACAGTTTATTTTATCTTGAAGCATTTTAAAAAAGATACAGCTATACGAGAATACACAGTCGTCCCCTCCCCTAGTCTGATGCTCGTAATAGCTATCAATATATCAAATGCTTCATTATATACAGGCTGGTGGCACTGTTTGTAAATCAACAACATAAAACGGTTTTGGTGTGTTCAACATAAATTGGGTTAATTTCAAAATTTACAATGACAACCGTTAGGTGTGTACCTAAAACTCCTTTTCACGGTCCATTTTTTATCCCTTAGCAGCTGGCTAGTAACCGATACATTCTTTTTTGGAGGTTAAGATTGATACAGAATATTAGCTCATAGTTTGATAACATCCTTTTTTGCGTGATAATTTCGTGCACCTAACCAGTATCTCAATCTTATAAATAAATTTAAGCTGTAGCTGCATGTAAAATTTTTGTCACGACGTATAATTAGATATGAATTGTTCTTATGTCTTCCATGCTTTTCAAGTAAACTTTCATCCTTAAAATTATATCTCAAGTTACTTGGCAGATTTGTCCTTATAATGATTAATCACTATGGCTGATATTTAGAGCTGAAAAACTTTCAGATAGACGAGTCTTGAGGAGCTGTATTTAGTTGAGCAAATTTATGGGGCTATAATACCTCATTAAAATAGACTAGTTTTAAAATATATTCATAAACAAACAAATTCTACTATTTAGTGGCGCTTTAAACCTAGACAACTGCTTTCAATTTATCAACGTAAACAATTAATAGTAGAATCGGCTTAACACTGAAGACTATATTAACCAGAGAAGGTGCTAAATGAACATGAGTTCAGTAACAACAACAAAGCTGTCTCACTCATTTCAAATACCCCTGTTGCTCTGATCTATGAGATTTCTACAAAGAATTAGGCCCACCCAGAGCCTCCATAGACTAACCCCCCTGGGCTAGGGAATTCCAGGGAGTCCAAGCAACCGCGAAAGCGAAAGCATCGAAACGTTAATTTTATCGAGATTATTTCAACAGGCTCTAACTGGTCAAATGCTGGCGAATTTTCATGAAGAGTTGATAATTTGGGAACACATCAAATTTTAGAAATAGAAGAACATCGATTTTAACGTCCTCTATAAAAACGTCACTTTGTAAAGTTCCACCACGTCATAGCTGTGGAGTGATCACAAACTAATGTGCAATGCGCGAGCCGAGGTGCTATTTTGCTCATCAAATATATCGCGCTTTAATTCCGACGTCGTCGTCACGGTGTGGTTGCTTCTGATTCCTGATGGTATTAAAGGCGTGTTTTCTAACGGATGTAACGTTGCAAAATGTTCGTTATATTACAGGTATACTCACTAGGGCTTTATACTGACAAGCATAATCTATTTCTGACAGTCAATCTTACGGTTAACGATATATCGATCATTCATTTTGAACGCTCATTTAGCATGCAACTTTAGCGTCTTTCGAAAACAAACAGTATCTGCTTATCAGATTGATTGCTTCGCTTACTTGCAAACCGGTCTCACGATTTAAGTAATCTGACTGGTCACTTTGAGGAGGTCTAAAAAATTATTTCAGTTGTAAGAAAATGACTGTAATTATGTTCGTGCAGAAAAGTTTGTCATAACGGGTTGGCTGTAATAACGTGGCGGGTTTGTTACTGTATAACGGAGACTTTTAAAGTGACTTAGTGCAATGACTTATATGAAGTAGCGCAAAGGCCAAGATTGATTAACCTTCATCTTAAAATAATAGCTAAGATTTGCCTTAGTTTCACCGAGAACTCACCAAGAGATTGATCGATTTCATACACAAGTACCCCAAGTGGCCACAGGGCGAAAGTGCTTGCACCTCTTTTGCGCCGGTTTGAGCCAAACACAGGCTTCCCATGCTCTGCTCTGTAACGCTGTTCTGGTGTAAGAATCATGTCTCCCTCAAAAAGATTCCAGCACTTAGACTCAACTTTGTTTTAGTAGAGATTCAAAAAGTTTATTGAATAAACGGCGTGCTGCAGGGACGATCCTAAATTTTGAACACTTTTCTTACGGGTTTTATGTTTTATCTCGTTTGACTGTGGTTAATGCCCTTACCGTCAACGACTGGAACTACGTCGAGAGGCGTTGTTCTGCGAAAAGTCTAGAAGCGTTTCAAAACAAAAACGCATGCGCGCGAAGCGTTTTGGACATAGAAATGGGTTTCAAAGAAAAAATTGGGGGTCGTCCCTTTCCTAGTACGCAAACCCTCGAAGTGGACTGACTAAAGGTAGGTATTAAAACCAAAATATTTGCTTAAGGGTCGGTGACTTGAAATGGAGAGAATATATAGAACTTTTCCCTCGGAAAGCGGGCCAAACGTCTTGACATGTTAAACGATGAAACAGCACTTTACTCTTAAGGTACAGTTTATTTTATCTTGAAGCATTTTAAAAAAGATACAGCTATACGGGAATACACAGTCGATCGTCTCCTCCCCTAGTCTGATGCTCGTAATCTGGCTATCAATATATTAAATGCTTCATTATATACAGGCTGGTGGCACTGTTTGCAAATCAACAACATAAAACGGTTTTGGTGTGTTCAACATAAATTGGGTTAATTTCAAAATTTACAATGACAACCCTTAGGTGTGTATCTAAAACTCCTTTTCACGGTCCATTTTTTATCCCTTGGAAGCTGGCTAGTAACCGATACATTCTTTTTTGGAGGTTAAGATTGATACAGAATATTAGCTCATATTTTGATAACATCCTTTTTTGCGTGATAATTTCGTGCACCCAGCCAGTATCTCAATCTTATAAATAAATTTTAGCTGTAGCTGCATGTAAAATTTTTGTCACGACGTATAATTAGATATGAATTCTTCTTATGTCTTCCATGCTTTTCAAATAAACTTTCATTCTTAAAATTATATCCAAAGTTACTTGGCAGATTTGTCCTTATAATGATTAATCACTATGGCTGATATTTAGAGCTGAAAAACTTTCAGATGCACGAGTCCTGAGATGAGGAGCTGTATTTAGTTGAGCAAATTTATGGGGCTATAATACCTCATTAAAATAGACTAGTTTTAAAATATATTCATAAACAAACAAATTCTACTATTTAGTGGCGCTTTAAACCTAGACAACTGCTTTCAATTTATCAACGTAAACAATTAATAGTAGAATCGGCTTAACACTGAAGACTATATTAACCAGAGAAGGTGCTAAATGAACATGAGTTCAGTAACAACAACAAAGCTGTCTCACTCATTTCAAATACCCCTGTTGCTCTGATCTATGAGATTTCTACAAAGACTATTTTAAAAACTTCTTTACCCCTTGTTTGGTAAAACCTCTTGAGGAGAGAACTACAATGAATCGGAATCACTCAGAATGTCAAAAATGTCAATTTTGGTGTGAACACTTTAATAATAAGGCCGGAGTCAATGGTAACGCAGAAAAAAAGTTGTTCAAGCAGTTGACTAAATATAACCTTATTGTTATGTGAAAGTTAGTACTAAAATACGGCACATAATTTAATCTGCGTGAAAAACCGCCGTTATAGTTCTAACGATATTCGA